GATACAACATGTAGACAAATTTAAATACCTAAATTTAAAAAGTACCATAATACTTTTATAGTACTACGATCAACAACGAGGGTTTGGGCACAGAATACCTAGCTACGCAACAGAAGCCTCGTTACATGTATAAAATTGTAGGTAGCAAAAGGAGACAGGCTTTAAAAGCCTGTCTCCAAATCAGATATTTTGATGTGGTAGTTTCGCTACTACATAATAGAGGGCAATAAATTTAAAAGAAAACAGTTTTCTGCAAACAAAATTTAAAAGAATTTTGTGCAGTGTTGCCATTGTGTAATTCATATCGTAATACTTCCTGATAAAGCCTACCTTCAAATTTGCTACATCATTTAAACATATTAAAATAGATCAGAGCTGTTTTTTTCAGTTTGCCATGTTAGTTGGAATTAAATCTTATGAGCTAAATTACAATCACTTCCTGACGTTTGATTGTATAATTGAATCCTGAATTTTCATTGTAATTCGGCGACAATATAATAAGTATTGTTCTACTATTATGATACCACTTCCTCATTCCTGACAAGTTCATATCGTATAATCGGGAAAAAACGGCGTTAGCGATAGCTATGAAATGAATATCGCTGTCATTTTATATGTAAATTTATATGGGAAATGTCATCGATCGTCCTTTTCCAGCCAGCTAGTACTATATTACGATACATGGCGTTCGATTGGGCTTAAACTTGATATACTATATCTTCAGTGACATTGTAATACATGGTACCATGGAGCATATAAAGTGGTACCTTCTATAGTACCATATTTGATGACATAGCAATATTAGGTACATGGCGGCAATAGGGCTTAAACTTGGTATACTACGTATTTTCGGTGACATTATAATATGATGATACTATGATGCATATCATCTGGTACCATGATATAGTACCATATTATGTACATGGCGTTCGATTGAGCTTAAATTTGGGATACTACGTATCTTCGGCTACATTGTAATATGATGGTACTATGATGCATATAAAGTGGTACCTTAATATAGTACCATATTTCAATACCATTTCCTGGCGTTCGATTGAGCTCATATTTGATATATACTTGCGTATTTTTGATGACATTGCATTATTATGGTACCATGAAGCGTATCAACTGGTACCATAATATAGTACTATATAACGTACATGGCGTTCGATTGGGCTTAAACTTGGGATACTACGTATCTTCAGTTACATTGTAATATGATTGAACTATGATGTATATAAAGTGGTACCTTAATATAGTACCATATTACGATACTATGTCATGACGTTCGATTGTTCTTAAATTTGGTATACTACGGATCTTTGGTGACATTGCAATGTTATGGTACCTTAAAGCATATCGAGTGGTACCATAATATAGTACACTATTATGATATTATTTCCTGGAGTTCGATTGGACCCAAATTTGGTATACTTGCGTTTCTTTATAAAGATTTGTTTAATTAATAATTTTAATTTATTTTACGAATTTTAATTTATTTTAATTTATTGTTCGATGTCGTGACAGCAACTTTTATGCCGAACTAATATATTATTAATTGTACCTGTGTCACTTTTTAAAATCTACCTAGGTCTATATAAATAACGTGGCAAACGGAAGAAATTTGTTATAGTATTTTTTAGTCAGTTAACATTTTTTGTACTGCATTTTAATAAATTATTTCCATTATTATTAAACTTATATTTCATTACTAACGTTCCAGCATTAATAAATATCACTATCAATCGCCCTGTCTATTATTAATTTTAAAGGTAATTAAAGGTATTTTCTTAGTTAACATTATAAGGTAGTGTATATAAAAAATGTATATGTTTTGTAATAATATACTTAAAACTATTTTAATAGCCAAAGGAATAATTAATATAAGTGTATCTGACAAGAAAAGATGAATAGAAAGAAACACATACTGCATTATACATAATAAAAGAATGGGATGCCAATTCAAGTCTTTTGAATCTGGCAACTGTGCATATTTAGCCGAGCTATAAGGCCCTCGACGAGCCGTCGATCCAAAACCGAAAGTTCAAAATTTCTAATTATATTCTGATTATGACATTGTCGCGCCATCTAGTATTCTATTTGTGCAATTTTAGCTCTTTCATTTCGAGTATTTTTCTGTTGCGTAGCTAGATATTCTGTGGTTTGGGTAAAGAAGAAATACAACACCAAACATGTTTTAAAAAGTCTTAAACAAAAAATACTAAAACAAGTCTAAAACAAGCAATGGTGTTTTAAACCATATGACATGATGTTAAACAAAATGTTTAAAACATAACAACGAATCTAAATCATAGTACTTAAAATTCAACTTCCCCAATATAGCTATTTGTGTATCTGGAAACTTTCTATTCTTTTCTGGTTTTTCTATATAAGGTATTAATTTTTGACAAATTTTATGTCAATTCTCAGTAACTGACGTCTAGAGTTCTATCTCGTCAAAAATAGCATCGATAGTCATTCCTAAGCCGCCTTTGACGCCGTTTTTTCTCGATCATACGGTATAATATACTTTTATTATTGCCAAAACTTATTTCTTCCACAATACTTTTCTCACAGGCGAGACGACCCGAAAAAAAAACTTGAGTTATTTAGGACCTTCTGGGCAACGTACTGGCGAATCGATGCCGTTCACCCCTACGTTTTCCTAGCCCCATGCAGAGGCGCGTGTTCCCTTTAGAAGCGATCCCGTATGTCGTCTCTGGATGTCGTCTGTTCTATGGGTGGTGGGTACGTTGATCGCAGACACCGTATAAATTGCAGCGGGATGGGTTTAACGGTTTTGTCGCCATTTAATACGTTTAATTCTTTTCACGAAATGTTTCTAATGCGTTTACTTTTTTTAGTACTCGAAAAATAGGAAATAATAGAGGATGGTTGGCAACCATAGTTTTAAACGAGGTTTTAACCAAGTTTTAAACATAATTACAACTTTAGAGTTATGATCGTGCTTAAAACAATAAAAACTATTCTAAACCATAATTATACAACACGTTTTGTTAAAAAAATTAATTACAAGTTTTTATCAACCTTGTTCTGTATCACTTTTTCAGTTTTTTAAAAAAAATTGTGATAAAAAATTGTTGAAGAAATGTTTTGGCAATAATTAAATTACAATGTCTAGCGAGGCGTATTGGAATAATTTTGCATATACTAAATGCAGAGATGATATATCATTAATTTTCTGAAATACGGTTTAGTCATAAAGGGGTAGGGTTATGCTTTTTTTTGCGTTGGTTGTATGTTTTCATTTTCATACGTCATTTCAACATGTTTCTGAAAGGTGCAATGGAGTCATCAATAAGAGTTTTTCACATTGCAAACTTTGCTATTCGTAAAACTTATCTTTTTGGATTACGTTAGTATTGTTTACATTTTTTTTATTTTAACCTAGTGTTGATAAATATTCATCTGTATTTTTTTGACGTTCTGCTTGTTTAATACAATATTATTAATAGCAAATAGAAGCAGTTCCAGTTTGTAATTATTGGGTCCCGATTTCTTTTAAATACGAAATGACTCTTACAGAGCTGTTTCAGCTATTTAATGTTAGGTATATCTGTAGACGTATCATGTAAACTTGTTTTTACATACTAGACATAAGTTTATTAGATAAATTTACATACCTTAAGAGAAAAAAAGTTAAATAAGAGGTAATTTTTATTTTGATACGTTCCGTAAAAAGATATCTATACTCGCTTCAAGATCAGAATAACGAACGGTAGTTATTATGAAACTTAAGTTACTCTTGAAGGTATTTTGCTACATAATACGAAAAGAATTTAAGCACAGGTAAATCGTTTTATTAGAGCTTATTATGGTAGCAAGGGCACATTTAACTTCTGCACGTGGAAAAACGCTCTTTTCAGACAAAGGTTTTTTTTGACCTGTTGACATTACGCTTTTTCTGCGAACATCATTTTCTTAATAAGACTAGTACTTACTCCCAGTAGTAACTTAACGTTGGAATTATCGAAATAATACCATTTTTATACCTTTGTGATTCAGGAAAAATGTTTACATCCTTTTCTTATACAATCGTGTTATTGGCTGTTATGTTGCAAGGTTATTGTTATTGCTAGGAGAGTCTGTATATATTTTGCAATTTAATCATCGAAATATGTGTTACAAACTTATGTTTTGAGATTAGCACTAGGAATTGGTACTAAACGAATGTCTGGGAAGTCATGAGTTAGGAATTTTACCATGTCTATATGTATGAACATAATATACACATAATTTGTAGCTATAGAGAACAGTTAAACATTAATGGAAAGTTTTTTAGTAATTTTGACATAAATTATTAGTATTATTAGGGATAATATGACGTATTAGGCATTATTTAGATGCATATGACTTTAGACATCATTTAAAAGATGTAGTTTTTTATATTATAATTAATTATCAATACAAAATCTTCTAATTTGAGAAATAAATACTTCAACGAGTATGAGGAAGTATGTAGAATGTTTGGGAGGGAGGTTAATCACTCAAACCTTAGAGATCTATTGTGTGTTTCTTTTTCTTGAGTTATAACGAGTTATAACTCATCATAGAGTCATGGGCTTTGACAAAAGCCAACCACTGAGGCGGGTTCACAGAGGCTAGTTCTCCAACTCCGATATCAGTCAGTACTAGTGATGGGCAAAACTGTTATTTTTAGATAACAGTTGAAACTGTTATAGTTATTTATAAAAAACAGCTTAAAATAACAGCTTAAAAATAACAGGTTTCTTTATTTTATTGCTAAATATCTGAAAGAGTATGAGGTGGTCACCGCCAGGCGTATTAACGCAGTTGCAAGTTGCAACAATGACGTGCTCAGTGGTAGTATTTCCAGGGTGTCAAAACATTTCTAAATATCGATTGTTATCTAAAATACCTCTCTAAAAACGGTGGTTGTTTACAAATAAGCGCTGTTTACAAATTGCGATATAAAAAAGCCAAAATTTCGCCCCTGGTCTATACCTATACATCCCAATGAATAAAAAAACACAGGAACGAGCGTTTCGTATCTGTCACTAAAGTATGCGCGAGACAAAATCGGCCATATTGGTCCTCCGAGTATGACTCATTCTGTTGTCATTTTTTATCGCCCCAGTTCGCCAAATGAGAGGCCAAATTCCAGTGTTCCGAAAATATGGTTAGCTGTGCCGCTTGTGGCTATTCCCTGACACCAAAACATAAAGATGATGGTGTTACATTTCACAGGTAAGAATTTTTAAGCCAATAAAAGCTTATTTTATTTAACTGCTTTGTAAAGGTTAACCTAACCTACAAAACTACAAATGACAAAGCTTGCCTAGAATCATAGGCGTAACTTAGGGTTTGTGTTTTGACTGTTTGGGTTAAACACTTGGATATTGATTATCATATTATTATAATATATTTCAGAGACAAATTTTTAACTGTACAAAACTACAAATGACAAAGCTTGCCTAGGATCATAGGCGTAACTTAGGGTTTGTGTTTTGACTGTTTGGGTTAAAAACTTGGATACTGATTATCATATTATTATAATATATTTCAGAGACAAATTTTTAACTGTACAAAACTACAAAAAGAAAATACTTTCATTATTGGGGTTTAAGGTGACCCGGGGTTAAATATGACAATAGGTATTTTCAATAATTTTTTTAAAATTATACTTTTGTTCTAGCTTTCCTAAAAATCAGACGAGAAGATCGCAATGGGTAAATTTTGTCAAAAACCCTGAGTTTATCCCCAAAAACAGTAGTGTACACACAATGTATACGAAATTAATTTTATTTAAAGGCCAATAAATTTGTATTTTTGACTTTTTATTTATTTACCTTTTCCCATCCGTTTTCCTTTTTTTAGTTACATAATAATATGTAGGTATAATAATATTACCTATGTTCAATCACTAACTCATTTATAATCCGTTAAATATAAACAAATTAACTCTATATTAAATAACATAAAAGTAAAAATTTATTAAAACTCTGACCTGCCAAGGTTTATCATTTTTATTTTTTTTTTCGTGACTTATTCATAATTATTACTCTACGCCACTGCTACATCGAAAACACGAAAACAGGTCGGCCATATGCAACCTCCACTTTGATCGCAGCGATGTGACGTTATGCTCGTTCCTGTGTTTTTTTATTCATTGATACATCCCGATCTACCTACGCCCTGCCCCTCGATCCGCCTGAATTGCGTACTATAGGGTGCATCTCAATCGACGGGCGAGAAGCTCTTAGTTATGATTTTACCATTTGCGGTCAAAAATTAGCAATATAAGAAAATGTGTAGTATATTCTTCATAAGCAAACCAACTACACACTAGAGTTCGGATTAATTTTACACTTAAACTAGCGTGTACCCGCGACTTCGTTCGCGTCGAATTAATAATTTGTAATGGTGATGATAAAGCAAAGCAAGAATTGCCATTAACATACAAACTGGATAAAATTTTCTCACATTTGCCAAAAATAATCTTTAAACGTCGAGCAGTTTAAGCAGAATCGTGGTTAATCAATTACTCAACTTTTTGGAACACCCTGTATGATTTTTTAAAAAATTTCAAAATATGTAAAAACAAAATAAATTATGCGTGTCCAAGCGTTTTCCCGAAAGACTAACCGTTTTTAAATAACAAATATTGTAATATTTGAGGGGCATTTTCATCCTCTTGGAATTTGAGATTCGAGAAACCCCTCCTTATCGAACCTCAACCCCACAGTCAATCCGTTTGCCAAAAATCGGCTTTAAACGTCAAGCAGTTTAAGCAAAACCGTGATTACTCAATGGTCATATTTTATTGAACACCCTGTATATATTTTAAAAAAAATCTTAAAATATGTAAAACAACAAAATAAAGTAGACGTGTTTAAGAGTTTTTCCGAAAAACTTACCGGTTTTTAAATAAAAAATATTCTAATATTTGAGGGTGGTTTCACCCCCTTAGAATTCGAGTTTCGAAAAATCCCTTCTTATCGAACCTCTACACTCTAAAGTCAATCCGTTTTCCAAAAATCAGCTTTTTACATCAAGGGCTTTAAACAGGATCGTGATTAATCAATGACCAAATTTTTCAAAACACCCTGTATACATTTTTAAAAAATCTTAAAATATTATATAGAAAATTTTTCAGAATAAATAAATACCTAAATATTGAAACTTAATAAGTAAGTACTGAAACATACAGCGCCATAATATATCGACCTCCGCTCGTTATGCTCGTAATAGGTTGAAAAACAATGTATCTTAAACAACTGATGCGTTATTCTCCAACCTGTTTCGAACCTCCATCGAAAATCGACCGGTGCAGCAGCGTTACTTTCCCACTCCGATTATCGCGACCGGCGCTCTGTTATGCTCGTAACAGGTTAAAAAACAACGGATCTAAAATGACTGCTTCTCCAACCCGTTGCGAGCCTCCATCGACAATCGACCGATGCAGCAGCGTTCCTTTCCCACTCCTGTTATCTCGACCGCCAGGCGTTATGCCCGCAACTGTTTCAAAAAACTTGCTTCTTTTATATCCTATTATTTTTAAGCTGTTCCAAGCCCCACACGACCATCGACTGATGCAGCTACGTTAGCCGCGCCGCGCCGGCGCCGTAGCGCATTCCCCGCTCCGTTGTCCGTTGTATCTCGCCGCCTGTATCGATGGTTGTCGAAATAACATGTTTTCTATCCATAATCTATACTAGTTGTTTTTCGTGGCGGGGCAGAGCGCCGACTTCCTTTCACGAACGGTCTATCTCTGTGTATCGTTATTTTATATCTGTTATTTTTTAAAAGTAGTAACGGTTGCGTTATGTTATTTCTAAATAATTGTTATAAAATAACAGATAGTTAAATAACAACCCATCACTAGTCAGTACCAAAGTCTTTGGCACGAATGGTTGTCTCAGCGCACTCCAGTGATGAGGTGTCTTGGTGTTTTTCCCATTTTTCCCACAGAATCTTCATTCGTCGTTGTTTCTTAACTTCAATCTACTGAGGTGTTCGTTGAGAAGACAGTGTCGAAGACCCCGTGGCAATCCGAAGATTGATCTTACTTAAATCAAAGAAAAATCTTTGATTTTTCTGGTCGTAAGTTCTAAGAAATTTCTTCGGGTGGCTTAGACCGTTGGAAGATTGCCATCCAAGGAGGAAGTATAGAAAAATCCTTTCTCTCATCAATCGTTTATGATTTGGAAGACTATTTATAACGGTTCAGTTGTAAAAATCAATATAGAAGTTATTGGTTCATGAAATATTAATCGAATGCCTAAAAGAATCATTTAACTCTCAATTAATCAGTAGTTTGTAATGTGAATAACCCCTAATTCTTAACAGCTCGTTAAATGGGAAAACTCCATTAAGCACGTGTTTCTTCTTTGTGCGTATAAAAAAAGCAGGAGGAGGAGGCAGGAAAATAACAAAAAGGGCAAAAAAGGCGCGGTTGTCATTTGGATATACGGGTTTATTTAAGAGCGTCTCCCCTCTTGGAAAGGCGGAAGTGCATTGCACCCTAACGGATCCGAATGCAATCACCCACATGGTTATTAATATTGGAGGATTTAAATGATTCTGTTTCTATTGATCGCAATCATTTCTTTTTCATTCGCTTCGTTGCATGATTCTACTTTGAATTTGATACCGATTATGCGTTAAAAGCTTTTAAGTCTGAAGTATTTATCAACTTATATATCTTTATGGAAAAGCTGAAAAGAATAAGGGTCTTTTGTGTATCGATTTCGGGGTATTAAAAAGCTTATTTCCCAGTAGTTTTGAAATTGGATTGTTTTTTATGTGGAATAACTAAACGAATAAAGTCGATTCTAGAATTGTTTTAAAAATAATGGTCTGTCTCGTAATCCTAATGATCTTTTGAACGAGATCATGAAGTATATCAATTTAAATTTCGGAATTGTTTCTTCTATAATGGCAATATTTTGACGTGCCTATCTTTTTTCATTTCCTAGCTTATTAATAGTTTTTGAGATAAAAAAAAAAAAAAAACATAATTTTATTTTTTTTCTTAATATCTCCCACTAGAGAGAAGATTTTGTGCTCTAGCTGTACAAAAAGAGACGTAGATAGCGCATTGAAAAAAGCGATCTCAGTCGAAATGAATACGACTTTGACCCAAAAGATTGGCGCGATTTCAATAGGCCGAGAACGACGTTTCTTTGCTCAAAGCATTAACTATCTTTTCATAGGCTTTAAAAAAAATACCTTAGAGAATAGAAGAATCTATCTGTCCAAAGTATTTCACTCTTGACCAAAATGAATATGCAAAAGAAGTTCTTGCTACAAGAACACTAGTCTCTTTGATTCATGCAAAAATTCTTGATTGAAAAGGGACATTTCTTTGATTAAAGAGACACTTTTCTTAAACCAATAGCGAATACTATTGACTCAACTAAAATTCTATTGAAAATAAATTTCTTGCAGTTTTAGGTATATAATAAAAATTATATAAGAGTTTATTGCCTTGAACTGTTAATATAGAAATTAATTCCACGCTGTGTTCGTCATAATGTGGATCAACCTGCTCTCACTACTGGTTTCGGGGCCCTACCCCATCATCAGGTGAGCTTGCATTTTACAAATCGTATGTATATACTCAACGCTGTGCTCGTCGTTTTGTACAACTGGCATTTTTCCTCCAAATAAGGCACTAAAAGGTTTTATAAAATGTCTCTTTAGCCAAACCGATCCATTATGCCCTCAATTTTATGGAGAGGCCCCATCCCATACCCAGAAAAAACACCCCCATACCATGACTGAGCCCCCACCATGTTTTACAGTGGGTCACGTGTACTTTGGTAGCAATCGTGTGTTGGGAGGTCTTCTTACATGTTGAATTCCATCTGATGACACCAAATTAAACTTTGATTCATCACTAAACAAACTTTTTTTCCATTCTGCCACAGTCCAGTTTTGATATTCCTTGGCAAATGCTAATCGGGCCTTCAATTTTTTTTTGATAGCAGTGGTTTCTTGGCGGGTCTTCGGGAAAAGAACTTCTGGTCAACTAATTTACGTCGGATCGTCCTTGTACTCACTGGTGGATAGCCCATTTCTTCAAGTTTTGCTTTTACCTTCGTTGACGGCAAAAACGGATCTTGTGAAGAAATTCGTTTTATGGCTTTTATTATATTGGGACCAACTTTTTAGGTCGTCCTGGTTTTTTTTATAGAGACATCTCCTCTCTTATTATATCTCTTTAAAATATAATGTACCGCTGATTTTCCAAGCTGTAATTGCTTAGCGATTTACGATTGCTTCAAACCATCCTTAAAAGCATTCACTACTCGCAACTTAAGATCTGCAGACAAGTTAATTCCACGTGGCATGATATAGCACAAGAGCTCAAATGTTTTACATAGCAATCAATACAAAAGCAGAATAAATGAAACTAACGATTTTAAAAAAATATTTGGTTCATCTACTTTTGGTCCAAGACAAAAAAGCAACATTTGCCAATTCTTATCTATAAATGATAAGACTAACAGAAGAATTTATATTTGTTTGTAGTATTTTGGTGAGAATGTATTAAACTTTTAACATACAAAGGTACATAAAATAATTTTGATATTTAACACCTCAAATCTGATTTTCTTCGTAATTATTGGTATTGGTTCACTTTTGGCCAATACTGCAAGTGCCGCCTGACTCATGGCAGAGCATATTATGATTTATGTTCTTTACCTCGGATATTTAAATTATTATTATTTTTTCCGTTTTCTGACCATTACTGTATACACCAGGACATTTTTCGAAATACTGACTATATTTGTGCAAAAAATAAAACACTAATGCATCATATACAAT